CGTCAGGCCCTTTATCCCTTTCGCCCCCTAGTGGGAGAACCAGGATCCCAAACCCAAGAGACCTCATATACCCAAGCCCTTCTAATTTTTACGGCCCTCATTTGGTGTTGCACTACGCGGTGGGAAGACAGGATCCTCCCCAGCCCGCAAATTGGCCCCTATCCCTGAACCAAAATCGAAAGACGGGTTTAGGGGATTAGGTTTTTTTTTAAAGCCTTTAGGGGATTAGGGTTTAGGGTTTAGGGTTTCCCTTTGAGGTTTCGGCCTTTGGAATCTTGTAGGGTTTGGGCCTGGCCCCCCACCCTCAAACCCTGGCTCTTGAGACTCGCGCATGAAACTGGTCATAGGAGTGGGGGAGCATGTTAGGGTTTAGGCTTGCTAATCTGGATCACAATACCGAACTAACCAAGCGCAATAACAGCCAAAAATCCCAGAAGCCCGCCCGAAAACAAAAAACAACGGGTAAAAGCATGGAGGTACTCTCTGGGCTCCAGGCGCATTGTCGATGTAGGCATTCAGGGCCGGGATCTGTTTCAGGGCGTAGGCGCTGGCCTTGGCATTTCCGATTTCGGCACATCTACAACGGCCTCAATGGTTAGAATAGGCTCTGGGATATGTTGTGCTACTATGATCATAAGGAAGCCTATTGGAAAAAAATCATGCATTCTTTGGGCCCCTGTTGTGTGATTGCCATAGTCTCCTGCCTCTCTTGGCATGATAGTGAGGCCGTGGGCTTGTGGGGCGGCATTGAAAATCTCGGTTGACTTCGTAGTCATTTATGTGCGGAGTTTGCCTGTTTGTGTTGGCATAAGGAGCAAAGGGATGTGCCGTGCATGTTTCCCAAATGAACTCAGAGTTTTAATGCTGGTGTTCCCTATGAACTTGTTCGTGTAGAACAACCAGGTCCCGCTACTCTCATCTTGCCAACATGGAAAATCTGTGCCGAATCTGGCTGGTAACCTACTTGACGTAGACGGTCTTGGGCCCCTATAGTATCCACAAACATAGTGCTAGTCAGAATCAATTCTTGGAGGGGTTGGAGTATCTCGCAGTGTCGGAAGGATTCTAGCTGAAAGTTCTGGGCTTTCGGAATGAAAGGTCTCTGGGATTTTGGAGATGCAGAAGGTTGCAGAGGGAAGACTGCGGAGCACAGGAAGAAGTAGCGTTGGTGTAAACTTGAGGCCAGTCCTAGTAAAGCCTGAACCCTACTGGCCAAGCATTTTGACACTTTCCGTCCGAGCCATGAATGAGCTGCTTCAGGGTTCGGTCTTCTGATGTAGGGAAACGACCCGTCACAATCAATCCGCAACACCAAGAATGACGCCGAAAAAAAAACGACGACGACGACGACGGTAGCGACGAGAACAGCATCGACATCATGCTAAAGCTGATCCTGCTTCCCGGCTTATGAACATTCCGCTCGACTATACATCAGGTCTCGAGGTGCCAAGGCCTAAACCCCCCGAAACCGCGAGTCCTCGATGCTACAACCGGTTGCAGCGCTCCGTGCTCAAAGGCTCTAGGGACTCTAAGGTCAGCACCAGGAAGAAGGGAGATTGGAAGCCTAGCTTCGCGCCGTGCGAGGACTGGAAGATGTCTTTGTACTCCTGGCTCATGTGGGCGTGCGGAGGTCGGGGTCGGACCAATGGTGACGACGGACGCTTGTAGGTTTTGAGTGCGTAGGAGTTCGAAGACATGCACTTAAGGCCTCCGAGTTCTGAATTTCGGGCCTTCGCTGTGACCATACATGGCAGGTCATATCTGCGGCAGTGCTAAGCGGAGTGGCCCAAACAAGCGAAAGCTAGGCTTCTCGCCATTTTCTGTATAATTACTTGTTTCCGGTACCAAAGAAGATTGCCCACAACCCTTCGGTTTGGAAAGGCTCTGCCAAGCCTACTCCACGATTACGATATGAGAGATGGTTGATTGCTGCTGCCGAGCTTGCAAATGAAAGAAGGGACATGCCGTGACCCACCATCATCTATTCCGTCAGCATTGCTCGATCTCCCGATTGAAGACGCGGACGTAGCTCCAATGTGGAAAGCTGGGCACCATGCGTGAGGTTGCGGTTGCGACAGCCCAATGTAGAGCAATATAGGGGGCCCATTATACTACACTTATAATAAGGAACCCCCAAAGTAGTCTTGGTAATTATTTAGGCCCTACAGTAATCTAGGGCCCGCTGTGGAATTCTCCTCGCTGACCCTCCTGTCTAGCCGCCCGTGGGTCCTTTCGCATCTTTATCAGGCCAGACATGTCCACCTCCTGAAAGGTGGTCAGCATGGCCTCAGATGGTTCAGCATTCATCCTTGGGTTTCCGTTCAGAGAGCTTTTGAGGATGCTCTCCCAAAAATAGATGCAACGGCGCCATTCTCTAGTCAAAAAGACGGATCACTCGTACCCCAGATCCTTTAGCCTCTTCGCTTGTGTACCCAAACCACTTTCGGCCTCCAACAGGACTACGCAGGCACCCCTGGACAAAGCACAGAATGGACCGGGCCCTGGAATAGTTCGATGGCCCAGCCCGTGCTTATGGATCAGAAACTCACGTGGGAGCTGAAACCATCCGAGAGGCGAGGGTGTTTTGTGACTCTTTCAGGTTTCTCGCGATGGCTTGGCGCATGCCTCAGCCAAACGCTCGCCCGAGTCATCTCTCTCTGCCTGCATCTGCTAATGGACAACACATGCATGATGCGATAGTATTCGGAATTATGCAGTCATGGCTTACTTGTTGTGTCTATGGATAATGTAGTAGGATCTTACCCCTCAGCTTTGCAGTCTTCACAGCTTTTCAGTCTTCAGAGACTTCGGCCCTGTCCCACTTACCCTCTGGTTGAAGTCAAGGCTCACCATGCACCCTAAACGCTGAACCGTAGAGCCTAGCCCTCGTCATCTTACTAAAACCGTCGAGCCCTAACCCTCATAGAACCAAAACCGCTTACTTGCGGGCCTTACTAAACCCGCATTTCCGGAAGGCGGAGAGGTGTGCTGGGCTGGATGAGAGCTCCGGCCTTCGAAGTCCCAGCAACCCCCCCCCCCAGCCTGAAGTCAGGAAATTCAAGTGCGTATGGCTATGGTGGTTGTTATTTCTGCCATCGTTTAGAATGTCCCGCGTTGTGGTTGCCGGCATGCTTCTATCACTCCATCTGCTCATCCTGCTGTTGCTTGGGACTGTTAGCATACTCCAGGTTCTGGCGCCCGGCTGATACGGGCTCAGACGAGCACATAGACACACGGGTCCGGCAGCTCGGGTCTTCCCGAAGCCTCCTCAAAGTTCAGGGGCCCTTCTACCCCCCAAAAACCCCAAACCCCAAGAGCCCCCAGACCTTCGTCTCGGTGATGTTTCGGGCACAACTTGGAGGTTCATGGGTAGTTAGAAGTGGGGTTATAAGAGGGTGACTAAAGTTCTAACCCATCTCAGGGCACTTCAGCCCCCACCTATAACCACCCTGAACCTCCAGAGGTAGCCCAAAAGACACCAAGCCAAAGAACGGGTCATCTTCTCACGCCTCTCGCCTCGCTCGGGCGAGGACGGGGCGCTCGCGGCCTGCTAGGGGCTTTGGGGCTTTGGATCAGGGTTCGTGAACTTTGGGTTTTTTTTTGGAACTTTGGGGTTTAGGGTTTAGGGCTTAGAGTCTAGAGTTTGGGGTTTATAGAGTTTGGGGTTCGAAGTGCCCAGGCGGGCGAGGCCGCTCTGAGGACATCAATATCGGGGGCCTACCCCCGCTTAGTAATCCCTTGTAGTGTTCTCCTTAACAATACATGGAAGGGGGGGGGTACTCCATCCCTCAATAAAAACTCGAAACTCGAAAAGTGGCTTTATTATTAAGGTGTGTTTTGTTTCTATTGCTACATTGCGGAGGATCTAGCTCCAGCTGAGATCCAGTGCTCCTGATCCAGGTCCTACTGCGGCTCTTGCTCCTGCTCTTGCTCCTGCTCCTGTCGGGGCTCTTGCTCTTGCTCCTGCTGTTTGCTCTTGCTCTTGCTCTTGCTTTGACTCTGGCTCTCGGCAATCTCGCTCTCGCTCTTGTTCTTGCTGCGGCTCTTGCTCTTGCTTCTGCTTTTGCTCGTGTTCTTGCTCTTGCTCCTGCTCCTGCTCTGGCTATCTTCTGCTCTTGCTCCTGCTTTTGCTCCTACATTCCTCTAACTCAGACTAGGTTTTAAAAGGCGGAAACGATTTCAGGATGATTTCCCCGCAACTGTTTTTATTCTCAATGGTGTGTATAATCATTTACTAGATATGGGAAAAATTACTGACAATCAACCTCCGCCCTCTCTGCCCCACTCCAAGCGGCTGAAACATCTCGTTCGGGCTCTCTGAATCCGTGAACTTGGCCCTACACCCAAAAATTTGTGAGCGCTTGTGAGCACCCGGGCATTATGCCTCCTTTGCCATGAAACAATCCCCGAAAGTCCCACCAACCCTGCAACCCCACACCACTACAATTCCTTAAGCCCCTCAAGACTACAACCCTACGCACCATAACCCTTAAGTCCTCATAGAAGCCTTATTGTGAGGCTTTCCAGCAACCCTTGTAGTAGCTTCTATAAACCCTACTACCTTGAAACCCATAACCTTCATAAGACACATGTAGACCAGTACCGAGGTTTATGAACGTTCACATCAAAGAACCTTGACACAAAAATCCTGAAAGAAAACTCAAAACATGGAACCCTACAAACCAACAAAAACCTTGCAAAAACTTCCAAAAAAAACACTTAAAAAGGAGCAGCCGCATAAAACCTTTAAAACAAATCCTTAAACCAAGGGAAACCAAGAGTAAAAAGTAGGACTTCCCAGCTTCCCTGAGGCTCCCGGCCGCCGGCGCGGCCGACTTCGGGGCCGGCGCGGCCTGACTTTCAAGGGTTTTAGTGTTTAGGGCTTTAGGGCTTTAGGGGTTTAGGGGTTCAGGGTTTAGGGCCCTAAGCCCTAAGCCCTTTAGTTTCGACCGAGACCATTAACCCTAAACCCCAGAAACTAAATCTTCGACAACCCCCGA